ATAGTATCATCAATTTTTTTAGGTTGCTACAGGCCATAATTATGAACCATGACCCATAGTAAGAAGCATCCAGAATATAAAAGAAGTTGATTATCGACATCTTGTATACTATGAGGAAGATAGTGATGTTGATTATGATTTTCGTTAACTTACAAACAATGAGGATGTAGATTATATATTTCGTGTGTATAAAATTTTTTCTAGAAATGGGTCGAATTACATTTTCATACGTGAAAAAATATCATTTTCATTTTTTAAAAAATATTAATCATTAATGTGAAAGTAAAAAAATATTATTTAAAATTAAATATGATCACGTGGCAAACTCCAATTGGAGTAAAACATGGTGCATAATGTGTGACACTATGGTCTATAATGATAAGAAGTCGTTGTGGAACATGACAGACCTTAATTTTTTATTTTATTTAAAATTTACATTTTTTAATATTTACACGTAAATAAAACATTTAATTTATTTAAAAATATTTACATGTTTAAAATTTTAATAGTTAATATCAAAGTAAACAAAAATTAAAATTACATATAGCCACATGGAAACCTCCAATTTGAGGAAAGCATAATGACCATATTTTCAATCATAGAATTTCTTTTGATGTTCTTTCAATTTTGTTGTCTAATTCAATTGATCCAATTCTAGCAAATTCTTTATATACATGAAACATATAATCTACATGGTCATCATATGAGTTGAAGAGAACCAAAATCAACACCATTATCCTTCTCGCAATATATATGATGTTGATAATCAATTTATTTTATATTTTGAATGCTTCTTAATATAGCTCATAGCAACTAAAAAAAATTAATGGAGTTATAGTAATCAAAATAAAAATAAAAAATTGATGATACTATGATCCATAACAACAAGTTGTTATAGATCATAATGACAAAAAAAATAGTAATCCTTAAATCACTGTAGTTGATAACAACAAAATATTTATCACTATCAACCGTAATGATTCCAACTACATAACTTTTATAATTAAAAACAATCTTGTGATATATGTATCGCTATGAATTATAACCGTACATGTAAAAATAGCTTTCAAAGGCATAATTAACTATATATAAAAAAATATAGACTAAAAACCTAATTTGGTCCCTTATAATATTTGTTTGTTTCAATTTAGTCCCACTTTAATTTTTTGTTTCAATTTGGTCCCTAATAATTTAAATTATTGCAATGTCAGACTTCCGTCCAAATTATTTAAACGGAGTTAACTGTTGGCCACGTGGATGCCAGGTGGATGCCACGTAGATGCATAGGTGGATGCCAAATTTCTTGAATGCACCTAGAACCAGAACGGCCCGTTCTAAAAATGGTCCATTCTGGTTGCACATGTTGTGTTAATTTTGCATCTGGAACGGGCCGTTCTAGATGCAAAATTAACACACCATGAGTGCAGCAGAACGGGCCGTTCTAGGTTTAGAACGGGTCGTTCAAAAACACCAACCACATACGTACGTTCAACAAAATGCCGCAATGTGATTCAAAAATTGAAAATAAAAATTCATAACATATCATAGATTAATTCAAAGATAGAAATATGGTTCAAAGACTGAAAACAAAAATTCATAACATAACATATACTAAGAAAGTTCAAAGAAATTACTGAGAAGGGAAATCATCTGGATAACGTTGAAGGTGCCAATAATACATTTTATCCACCATATAACACTGAATGGCTGATAGGATATCAACATTATCTACCTATACATGTGGTTGTGTGGTGAAATGTTGGTCTTGTGTATCCTCTTCCTTTACTTCAGGTTGTATCTCCTCAAGAATAGGTTGTTGTTGTTGGGGTACATCGGTCAATGACTTCAAGGGGAAACACCATGTCGTTTCATCCTTGACTGTATAGTGTCAATTTGGTAGTAAGTGGTTCACTCTAGTTTGACTAATAATGAAATAAAACATGCTACCATTGTTCTTAGTGATACACTGCATTATCCTTAATGATACACTATATAGCCCAAATGTTTAGCAATTGAAGTTATCAATCCCTACTGACAATATTACCAAACCCAGTGTTTGAAATGTTTTGTACCTTGAGTCTTTTTCCTTGCAAGATTCACAACCGTGAACTATAATCATCGACCGTTTGTGTTTGGCATTCTAGAACCAGAACGGCCCGTTCTGATTGCACTATTAGTGTGTTAATTTTGCACCTGGAACGGCCTGTTCTAGGTGCAAAATTAACACACCAAGAGTGCACCCAGAACGGGTTGTTCTGGTTCCAGATGCATTAAAAAAATTTGGCATCCACCTATGCATCTACGTGGCATCCACGTGGTCAACAGTTAACTCCATTTAAATAATTTGGACGAAAGTCCGATATTACACTAATTTAAATTATTAGGGATCAAATTGAAACAAAAAATTAAAGTGGGACTAAATTGAAACAAATAAATATTATAAGTGACCAAATTAGTATTTTAGCCAAAAATCTATTTAAGTAAATAATTTTATAAACTGACCCACAATAGTAAAAAAAAAAAGCTATCCTAGCTTGTCTAAACTAGGCTAAACGACCATTGTAGAGTAGTTTTACAAACTATATACCAAACTGGGGTTGTTTTGAAACATTTTATACCTTTGGGACTGTTTTATAGGGTGTCGCTATGGCCCATAGCGACACCCGTGACACGTGGCAATTTTGGGTCTGAATATAAGCCATGAACGCCATATTAGTAGAGTCGCTGTAGCTGGTAGAGACCTTCAAGGAGTCGCTATAGGCTATAGCGAATCAATTCGGCTAAAAATGAGGTCGCTATAGCCTATAACACACGGCACCACACAAATAAGAGCGAGCATATATATATGAACAACTAAAATATATACACAAGGTCCAATCTGGGGCTAAAAGATCCAAATATACAAAATACAGCCCAATTGCTACACTAAGTAGCTAAAAACAACAAATAAACAAACTCCTTCTGCCAGCTACAGACCCACTTCAAAACACCAACCTAACCCTGCTCTGCTACCATACATAGTATGATCATTGCAGTCTAATCCACATGGAAACAACAAAGGGTAAGCTAGTGAAAAGAATCAGCATATAAAACATATATAAGAAACATGAACAGCTATAATTATCAGCACATCATCCGCATTGTCTCCTAGAAAGGGCATCAGCCACAACATTATTTTTCCCTTTCTTGTATTTAATCACATATGGGAATTATTCTAAGAACTCTACCCACTTAGCATGCCTTTTGTTTAGTTTGCCTTGGCCCCTCAAATATTTAAGTGACTCATGGTCACTATGAATGACAAACTCTTTGGGAATAAGATAGTGTTCCCAAGTTTGAAGGGCCCTAACCAAAGCATAAAACTCTTTATCATAGGTAGGGTAGTTAAGGGAGGCACCTTTGAGTTTTTCACTGAAATAAGCAATTGGGTGCCCACCCTCTAACAAAACTGCCCCTATGCTAACTCTAGAGGCATCACATTCTAACTCAAAAGTTTTTGAAAAATCAGGTAGAGCTAGAAGTGGTGCATGAGTAAGCTTATCCTTTAAGGTTAGAAAGGCATTTTCTTATTTTTCTCCCCATATAAACTCCACATTTTTCTTGACTAACTCATTTAATGGGGAGGCAAGTGTGGAGAAATTAGGAACAAACCTTCTATAGAAGCTTGCCAAACCATGGAAGCTCCTAATATCTCCAACACTTTTAGGAGTGGGCCATTCTTGGATGGCCTTGATTTTCTCGGGGTCCACATGAACCCCTTTTTTGCTAATTATAAATCCTAAGAACACCACACTATCTACACAAAATGTACATTTCTCTAGATTAACAAAAAGATGATTTTTCCTAAGAATGTTAAAAACTTGCCTTAAGTGTCCTATGTGATCACTTAGGCACCTACTATATATGAGAATATCATCAAAATAAACTACAACAAATTTACCTAAACAATTCCTTAGAACATGATTCATGAGACGCACAAAAGTACTAGGAGCATTGGTGAGTCCAAAAGGCATCACCAACCATTCATACAATCCAAACTTGTTCTTGAAAGCGATTTTCCATTTATCACCTTCCTTAATTCTTATTTGATTATAACCACTTTTAATATCAACCTTAGAGAATATGATGGCTCCATGAAGCTCATCTAACATGTCATCAAGTCTAGGAATAGGATGTCTATACTTCACAGTGATGTTGTTGATGACTCTACTATTACAACACATTCTCCACTTGCCATCTTTCTTAGGAACCAACAACACTGGAACAACACAAGGACTTAAGCTCTTTCGAACCTAGCCCTTCTCCAACAACTCTTGGACTCCAGAGTTCAGCACAACAAAAGCCTAAAGGAACCACCCCCAAAGAGTGTCCACTAGACTCGAACTGCTCTGATACCACTAAAGTGTAACGACCCAGCTGGTCACTACACACAGCACAACACCACGGCACCACACAAATAAGAGCGAGCATATATATATGAACAACTAAAATATATACACAAGGTCCAATCTGGGGCTAAAAGATCCAAATATACAAAATACAGCCCAATTGCTACACTAAGTAGCTAAAAACAACAAATAAACAAACTCCTTCTGCCAGCTACAGACCCACTTCAAAACACCAACCTAACCCTGCTCTGCTACCATACATAGTATGATCATTGCAGTCTAATCCACATGGAAACAACAAAGGGTAAGCTAGTGAAAAGAATCAGCATATAAAACATATATAAGAAACATGAACAGCTATAATTATCAGCACATCATCCGCATACAACTCAGCACATCTATAGCAGGAACAACCATAAACACACAAATGCGTTAATAGCACGACGTGCTGCTCCGACGCGCACTGGAATTGCAAGAGTTCCAGAATAAATAATTCCGTTACTGGATCAAGCTGGTTGCGGATGGATAGCGCGTCTGAATTATATCAGAGTTAGTCCTGGTTTGCTAACGGCTTTGGTAGAGCGATGGAGACCAGAGACACATACATTTCGCATGCCATTCGGAGAGTGCACAATTACTCTTCAAGATATTGGCATGCTTGTTGGTCTTCCGGTTGACGGTGAACCAGTATTATCTCGAGGCAGTCCAAATATATTGGGATTGGGTAATTATAACTTGACTTTAAATTATTTTGAAGTTTGTAGGGTGTTTTTTATATTAAGAATAGTTAAATTTTTTGTTTGATTTTATGCAGCTGAGGAGTTGTTAGGGGTTGTTCCACCGCAGTCTGAAATTAAAGGATATCGCGTTAGGCTATCTTGGTTGGTAGCAAACTTTGGGGACATTGCTGATGACATAGATGATGTACATGTCTTGGTTCGTTATGCTAGAGCCTGGATATTACGTTATCTAGGAGGAGTGCTTGTTCCCGATAGATCTTCGGTGTATGTGTCCTTACGGTGGTTGGTGTTTTTGCGCGACTTTGATATTATTAGGACTTATGCATGGGGTGCAGCTGTGCTTGGATATTTGTATTGGAATTTATGCACCTCAACCGATTACAAAACCCCAACCTGCGGTGGATTTACCCTTTTATTACAGTTATGGGCATGGGAACGATTCCCAACCATTCTGTCTTCACCATTGCCACCTATTCCTCCAGGCAGTCCAATTGGTTTAAGGTACGAGCAAATTTCAAACTTGACATTTTGACAATTAATCAGTTTAATTAAACATTATTTAATTATTTATAATTTATTTTTTCAGTTGGTCAAACACTGGACCAAAATAAGTATGAGCGATGATATAAAATTTTATCGCAAATACTTTGATCGTACTACTAGGAAATCTGTAAGTAATTAACGTTTTGTAGTTTTAACAATAATCAAATGCATCACAACACAGCTTACGTCGTCACGCATATCAGCTAGATTTGGTCGCTTGTAAGCGGTATAGCTCGACCTAGTCCCTATACTGTGGTCGCTTTGTACACGTGTGCCTCGACCTTGCCCACACAAGGGACCACACAACT